TATCGGCAAGTACCAAAAATAAAAGTATCGGTATCGGGCGAGTACTGGAAAAAGTGGTATCGGTGCATCCCTAATTGTCAGCAATATTATTACAAATACAAAATGTTTTAGAGACTGACCTCTGAATTTGAAATACTCATTCCCTGGACAGGCTGAACTCTGTAATTGTCTGTCTCCTTAACTGAAGGTGAGAAACAGAAGTTGTCACTTTTTTGTAAAAATAAATCTGAATATTTGAAGGAAAACAAAATTTTATCCATAAAGACAATGGGACCTTTGCACACACTAATTAAACTCATAAATCAGCATTTGGACAGTAACAAACATCAAATTAACATGGTTCAAAATATTTCAGTCAGACCTGTCAGACAACCACCATCTTTCACACTATCAGTCTTGACGTCTGCAGCAGTTGGGCAAGATTCACTGGAGCTTTAAAAAAAAAAATGACATGAAGGCAAACTGAAGAAACCGAACAAATGCTAAAGCTACATGTATCATTAAAAAAAGACATTCATGCAAACAGCAATCTTTCAGTCATACGGCCTTCTTCGGGCATTTAAAAAGATCTATCATTATGTACAATTATTAAATATTACATGACTTACCCATCTGCATTTAGGTCCCAGACAATCTTGCAATGGTTCCCTGTTTGTAGTTTCTCTGTCTTCGGCGGTGACTTTCCATTCTCCTCTGCTGATGTGTCCTGTTTACTCACAGTTTCAGTGACAACAGCACCAAATAACTCTGGATCATCTTGTATGACGTCCAGTACAAGGACGTCTTCTTCATATGCTCGAGAAACATCCAGGAAGCTGACGGCAACCGCTGGAAATTGTGGAGGGGTGGGGCCTCGTTCTTCATCATTCATCAGACTTGTCCCACCGCCATCAGACTGTGAGCTCACAGCAGCATCATGCTCCACAGAGTCATCTGATGACAGACTAGTGACATGTTCGTTTTCATCTTCAGAAGAGGAGTCTGTAACTGTACAGCTGTCAAATTCTTGCTTTTGCTTCTCTTCTCCTGAACAGTCAGGATTGCTGCCGGCTGTATGCAGTGTGGCATCAGGATCCTGGTCCATTGCGGAAGTTGTCGTCACTAAAGGAGGATGCTGTGCTTTTAGCATTTCTACTTTAAGACATATTTCCGAAAGCGACCCAGGGTTATAGAGAGTTTGTCCGTCACTATTTTCGTTCCACTCTTGATCCTCAACTGACTGAGCTCTTGAGGTTTGGCTAACAGGATGGGTACTGATCTCAAGATCCGATACATCTTTGGACAATTTTTGATCTTCATCCCTTATGAAATCAGCCTGAATTTCGGACCCACTTGAGAGCGCTTTCTGATCAGACTTCTTGAGCAGGCAATGATTTTTTAAAAGACCGCACTCCTCTAATGATGTTGCATAGCCAAGACCATTAAATTTGCAGATGTTAACCTGTTCAGTCACTGCAGGTACAGAGGACTCAAGAACATCCTCCAAAGCTTTCTTCAGACTTTGGTTTGACTCAGGCTCTGCCGGTTTGGAAACATGAGTCAATATGACTTTTGGACTGTGCACTAGACCCCTTGGAGTCCTTTCAGGTGTGCAAGTGGGCGGTTTTTCACCAAAAGCAGAAGGATGCTGCTCCAGTATGTCTCTACTTTCTAAACTGTAACTGTTGTGGTCTGCAAGTCTCGAAATAAAACTATCCTGTGTCATTGTACGACTTGGATTAAGACTTTGTGCTCGACCTTTCGGAGTCCTTTCCAACACTGCTAATGTGTTCTCACCTGGCACAAATGAATAAAGTGGTTGCCTCTCCAGTACCTCTCTTGTTTCATCACTGCTTTTGCTTTGCTTTGTGGGTTTGGACATTTCGTTTTGAATGTCTTTATCTGATAAGCATTCAGGTGCTCCACTGAGAGGAGTTTGAACGATAGCCGGAAATGAAGTGGTTACAATCCAGCGGGGTCCAGTGTGCAGCGGTGACCTGGGGTCGTTAGGAGGGCCTGTTCTAGGGAAGGGCCAGGTCTTGTATGTGCGAGCGCATGATGATTGAGGGAAAAATATGTAGGCTTGCACTCGCTGGCAGGAGAAACTCTCAGGCGAGTTCACTTCACTGTCAGAATCCTCATTACTACGGTCTTCCTCTTTCTCTTCATCCAGTGAATGACCACTGTTCTCCCCATCATCATCACCACCTCTGAAACCAAAACCATTGACAGCAACCCGTCTGAGTATTAGAGGTGGTACACGACGCGCCTGGCTGGTAGGACTTTCAGAGATGTTTTTCATTGGACAGGCCTTGTCTTTCTCACAGAAATGCAAAACAGGACCATTGTCATCACACCCTGGGAGTACCGAGTCAGTTCCTTCGACGTCGGTCTGTCTCATACTCTCACAGTCTAGATTCCTTGCAAGACAAGCATCCCATTCCTTGGCAGATCCATCAGGAGTCTCAGCTGTGTCTGAAACATACGTGCTGCCCGTAGCTCCAGATGGTGGATCACCTGATGAAAAAGAAGCACAGCTATGGGTTGGTGTGGAAACTTCCCAGGACTGGTTGGCAATCTTACTTCTACACTCCTTGATGTCATGGAGATGAGGATGCACAAGAAAATCAAATTTTTTCCTTAAGCACTGCACTCTTTTGCACTTCCTCTTTTGTCTTTGTACAGCTGGTAAGACACATGAGAAATCACGAGAGGCTATGTCAAACACTCTGGCTACATCGCACAGATTCACCATGGGGTATTTCTCGAAGCGGAAATTCATTGCGGTCGGGGACTCTGAGATATGACCAGCATCTTTCTGGCACACAGTCTGGCTGGGGCGGTCAGCTCTAGATCTGTGACTGAGTAAAGAGGCCAGATTCTTACTAGGGGGAGGAGTGTATTTTACATCACCACACAAAGCACAGCATGAATTTTTCACCAATCGTTTGCGGTTTTTCCTTGTGTCTGACCTAAGCTGTCGTCTCAGCTCAAGTTTTGAACTGATATCTGCAATCAGAGACAAAGAAGGTGAGAAGGGTGAGAGCAAAATGCAATACTAATATAAAGAGCCTACCTATAACTATCTCCCAAAACCCTGATAATTCCATTAAACTCCATTAATTAGAGTGATCTTATCTTAAAGGGATTCTTCACCCCAAAATTTAAATTCGTCCATTTACTCATCCTCATGCGTCTAGATATATGCCTTTTTGTTCAGATGAACACAAATGGAGATTTTTAGAAGGAAAATCCATCTCTCTGAGGCAATATAATACAAGTGGATAGTGACCCAAAAGTTGATGCTTCAAAAACAACACCAACCTTGTTCACAATGTTGCTTATATGACGCCAGTGAATGAATCGATGTCTTTTGAATTGCAACGATAGGCATATGAAAAATTATTGAATACGCTTCATTTTAAACTTAAACTATAAACCATCACTTCTGGCCCATTGATTCATTAACTGGGGTCAGATGGATTACCATTACAATCACATTGTGTGGTTTTTTAAGCACCAAATTGTGGGTTTCAATCCACTTGCATTATATAGACTCACAGAAATTGATTTTTTTTTTTTTTTTTAAAATTTTATTTA